CAGAATTGGGTGGGGGTGCGATTAGCAAGCCAAAATATTTTTTTAAATAATAAATCAAAACAAAGCTTTTTTTAAATTATGAATGTAAACACTTATCAATATGTATGCAACATGCAAAACCAATAAACTGAATACATTTAAAGATTAGACTGCAGTTTCTTGAAAAGAAAGCAGAACGTGTCATCACCGCCAACATAGAGAGCAACGTGTACTAATTATAAGTATCTGAAAGATAACGCAAAAAAACTTAATTATTAACTTTCAAGTCTTAACAATTTAACATGTAACTGTAACATGTAACTGTAACATAACATATATATCGCCTCGAGGGGTCATTTAGCTTGATGAATAACCCCTCTGGTATTAGAGAGGTTTCGCACAATGGATTAACCTCAACTCGTTTTAGTGCTGTACCCTACGCGCAGAGCCTAGAAATAAACTACAGAAGACGAAGCTCTCTTTTAAGAAGTGAAGTCAAACGAATGCAAAGGGTACCTATTAAGCATAGTGTAATTGTAATTTCATGCAGTTTAACTAGACTCTGCACGCAGGGTACTTAATAGGCGGCTTCATACTCCTTACGTCTCAAAATCTCTTAATTTTCAAATGGGAGTATATCATTTTCGTGAGCTGGATTTGGCGGGACAATACGATTTTCTTTCAAAATCAAAAATATTCCAAGGTGTTATTCATCGGGAAGTAGTATCATGGGATAAATTTAGATATATCATTGCATCCCACGACCGGTTTGATTATCAATACGCAATCAGTCTGGTACTGGTCAAGCAGTGATAAATAACAGACGCTAATAAGACACAGGATGCAATCAGGTTAATTATCGTCTTTTATTGTCTTAAGTCTCAGCGTACCTTGTAAGATAATCATTCCCGTTTGATATTGTTTGAATCGAAATTAAACGGAGGAGGGGGGGGGGGGGTGAACATTTAAATCTTAATTTATTCCTTACAATAGTTAAGAAAACAAACAAAAGACCATTCACTAATCCATCAATTTCCGTGCTCTGCGGATGTTTGGCTACTTTGATTACAGAAAAGTCTAAACATCATCCAGGACTCTGATTGCAGCAGAAGTCGTTTAGGACTCTGATTATAGAAAATATCGTCTTAGCCTTTGATTACAGAGATCGTCTAAGTTTTCATCTTTAGACCCACCTTGTGGATTGAGTGTATCATGATCACTTCCAGAGTGATGGGGGCAGGGGGTCCACATTAAACAACATTGGTCATCACTTAAGTTAAAAAAAGCTCAGAATGATGAAAAACTGCACGATTTTAAATAAATTTTGGAGAGAGGCGTTCTTGAACCCCCCCCCCCCCCCTTCTCTGACTAGGGGTCTGACTTTGTCAAATGTCATGGAGGTCGCAATTATATTCATAGAAAAGCATAAATTAAATAACTTCCCCACATTTTTACGTCTTTGCCTCTCTATGTTTGATTTTTATTTTCTTATCCTTCAGGAAAAAAAAACTAAAAATAGAAGGACATGTGATTTGATCGTATATCCTATACCCCCAAAGGTCTCAAAAGTTTTGAATTATTTTTGAAAAACCTCTACCACAGAAATAACACCGGAGGCATGGAGATGACTTTGAAGCCTTACAAATTAATGTTTCAAAAGTACACAAGCGTTTGCGTGTATACTTCGCGTGGCTAAAGTTCTAAACTAACTGTCAAAACAAAACAAAGAATGCAATTTTATTGGCGATCATGCACATGCTCTCTTCGAGAGCTTTACCATACTTAAGTAAATTATCAGCAAACTTTATGAATTAAAATCAATTGTAGGCTATATGGAATTCCTTGTAAGCTAACTCCTGTTAAAGATTAGTATAAACAAAACACATAGATAGAACAAAAAGTCCTTTGAAAAGTATATCAAAATGAAAAATGGATTAATAAATATTTCAAACATATAAATCCGCTTATTAAGGAATAACACTTAACACAACTGGAAAAAATGTTCATGCCTTATAATCAGCCATCTCGATGCAGATAAAACCGTCTAGATAGAACAAGTAACAATAACGAAAACAATTAGCAGATCCATGCCAATTAATTAATTATCGGACTTTGGATTTTTCTTAGTTTATACTCGCTTCAACAACTGCGCACCCCTCTCTTGTCAGTAAACACAGGTCGGAAGAAATCATCATGAGATTTTGACATTGTACTTGAGGCAATTTTCATAAACTATAACATAAAGACCGGTGTGAAAGAAAAAATGGTCCCCAGGGATTATGGTCCCCTTTCTTAACGGCCCTTACTGGCCCTGATTGCGTATAAGATAATGAGGGAAAGAGTTGTATTTAGGTCAAGATATAAATCAATGGAGAGTAGGACCATCATTTGACAGGACCTCCTACCCTTTTACACCGGCGTGTTATAATCTTGACGACTCATTTAACCTGCCATATATTGCCCGTGTTGTCGTAATTTTCAAATTTGATAAACAATTTTCGAAACCGTATTTTTAGATGTACTTTTTCATGTAGATTTCAAATTATGACATCACTTTGACTGAATTTTGAATATTTAATGACGTAAATCAAGATTATTTCTACTCGCATCTCATCATGATATACCATGACATCTCATTTCTTCTCAGCCCTGAGATGTGAAACAGAAAGATGCTATGAGTATCAGAATGCTCGCATCTAGTCTATTTCAAGGGGAATCTGTGAAGCAGAATACAAATATTGTACGATATATTAAGAACGGAATGATAAAGTATGTAAAATTCCTGCTGAATATACAGTATGCATGTATGAATCTGGGAAATCTCTCGGTGTATCGAATGTTGCGACGATCGGAACATTCACTGGTTTAATCCCGGGGGTTTAATCTCCCGACGTGATATACAGCAAGTACTCCCGGGCAAGTACAATCCTTTGGAATACCAAAGCGTTAGATAATGTGAGACTCTAATAGATCAGAATGTCCCGACACGGAAATCAGAATGACAGAAATATAATTTTGAATAATTTTGGGAGGTAGGGAATCGCACAATTTTGTAATTCCAATGCTGCCCTTTGTGTTTTATCAACGTTATACAACGATGCAAACAAAACAGATCGTATTTAAATCTTATTCTAATTTTAATTCCTACATGAAATCTCAGCCCCCCCCCAAACACTGGTAACATTTTAAAGACTTTATCTAATTCAAACAATCAAATCAAATCAAAATTAAAACATGCAAACAGGTATATCTGCTTATGGAGGAATATCCGAGGAAATGTGTGACGCTGGTTGTCAGTCCTTAATCGCCGCTTAATACCTTAAAAGCAACTTATCTGCTTATTATAAGTTATCAAATAATTTAACAATTAAACAGAAACAATGCATGCCAAACATTTATCTATAATTGTTATATTATGGTTATTTTATAGTTTGCACTTGTATCGAGCAACTGTGTATCGGGCTGTGTATACCCCTTTCTCAAACCCAATATGGGATTTATACTGGATGAGCATAATGTAAAAGTGGTTTTGAAAAGTAGCAAATTTCTCTTTATGTAGGTTTTTTGTGGTTTATTATTCTACATTGATTCTGAAACTATTGGTGTCTAGTTTTTCAGCGTTTTGGAAATATGCAGATTTATACCCCCCTGGTGTTATTTTAAGAGGGGTCCTAGGAAAGCCATGTATAATTCCTAGAGTATCCAACCAATCATCTTGAAATTTACAGGTAACCATCTTCTTATCATGTCCTATCATTGTGAGCAGTTTCATCAATATTGGTTAACTGGTTGCTATGGTAACAGAAATCACTTGTTAAAAAAGTACAAATTTTCGTAAAAATTTAACACCTACCCTGAGACAAAGCACATAATATTTTCCTGGAATTGGGAGGAATTAGCATGAAAACATATTAGAAAACTTATTTAGAGTATGGTTGATAATACTAAATCAATTGATGTTTTATTTTAGCCATACAATTAATTATATTTGCCGATGATAATATGGCTATGCAAAAAATGTGGAAAAGGGGGCGTGGCACTTTTCCCAAGAAAACTTTATTTGTACCCAAGTTTTGTGAATAAATATATGACTATTCATTCTGATATTAACAGATATTAGTATAGTTATGATGTTTAACCATCATGGGAAATTTCACTATTGTTGGTCTGCTGGTTGTTATGGTAACAGAAATTATTTGTTAAAAAAGATTGTATTTTCTTTAAAATCTAAGACATACCTTGACACAAAACACATAATATTTTTATGACAGTCAGGATGAGAACATTTTAGAAAATTTATTTAGAGTATGTTTCATAAAATTAAATAATTTGATGCTTTATCTTAGCCATACAAAGAATTCTACTTGCTGATGGTAAACTGGCTTTGCAAAAAAATTAGAAAGGGGCCATGGCACAATTTCCTAAGAATTCTTTATTTGTGTTCAAAGTGAAAAAATAATGTCAGTTTTCCTTGATATCTACATTATTATCCCAACGAACGAAGTTCGGCAGGGATATAGTTAAGCCCTCCGTCCGTCCGTCCGTCCGTCCGTCCGTCCGTCCGTCCGTCCGTCTGTCAGTCAGTCAGTCCATCCGTCCGGAAGATAACTCAAATATTAGTTGACGGATTTTCTTCATATTTGGTTGAAAGATGTATATTGATGAATAGTTTTACGCAAAAAAAGAATTTTTCAAGATGGCCGCCGCTTTAAAAATGACGGGACTTTTTCGCAAAAATCATAAATTTTTCATTCTAAACCAAAGTAATTAATATTATTGTTTGAAATTTATATTATTATATATAATTTATATATTTATATTCGCAACATCTATCTATTTCACATATATTCTGTGTTTTTCAGGAAAACAGAAATTTTCGATAATTTTTAGATCTTTATGAAGTATAGCTTTATTATACTCAATGAAAGGCAATTAAGAGTAGATTGCAACAAAGGTCATCTTTATAGCGAACAGAAAGTTTGTTCTTCAGGAAGAGCTGTTTATATTTGGGGTTACAGTCACTCAGATTGTTTTCCTTCATATGTGCCTGATACAGCTCATGGACATGTTCAAGTGTTTCAACTCCATCGGTTTGAAGGACATGTTCATCTATATGCTTACATATGAAGTCAAATGATGTTATTAAAACCTTTCCCTCTTCATTTATCGTTCGTACTTTCTTGCACAAGTAATTTCTTCTACAGGTATTATGGTACCAAGCTTCTGCTGATATCAAACAGCGTCCTCCTATTTTTGCATGTAAAGTCCAGTCTTCTTGGGCTTTCACTGCATTTATTATTGATGTTGAAGCGTTGTCTGTTTGGCATTTTGTTAATGATTCTTTTGTGTTTCCTTTGAGATATTTCAGATCTTTTTCACAAAAGAGGCACTTGTTTTGTTCAAAAAGGTTGCTTTGGCGTAATTTCTTACTATGACATTCTTCACCAATTGCTAGAGCAGAGGATCTTTTCCTCAAACTTCTCTCGGACATGATATATACGTAACAACACTAATACATTGATTTACAGGGTTCTACTCAGTTGCATGATATATGGAAAAAAGTATATATATTGGAAGGGCAACACTCCACGATGCAATAATGGAAACTAAACGATGGTGTATTAAATCACCTACCTTAACTGAAACGTAAAAGTAAAAAAAAGGAATAACTGTGTATATAGCACAACTGCAACCGCAGCACACTATCTGGAACCACTGTCCAAAATCACTCAATCTATTAACACAGAGTCACTAAACTTTATCTGTATGCAGCACACATAAACAATGTGTATTAGATCACCTACCTTGACTTCACCCTAAAATTATAAAATAAAGAAAATAAAGAATGCCTCTGCATCTACACAGTTACGCAACCGCACCACACTGTCTGGAACCACTGTCCAAAATCACTCGCAACTGCCCCGTAATCAGTTAGGCAACCGCACCGCACTGTTTGGAACCACTGTCCAAAATCACTCACCTGACTTAAATCACTCACCTGTCCACAATCACTCACCTCTATCTAGATGTAGCACAGCTTAACCGCACAACGTATATCTATTTCATCAGGTTTGCACAGCTAATCAAGAAGGCATGAACTGTGGTAATTGAAGCATAACATTGACAACAAAAGCTCATATCAACAACTGATTTATCATTGCATATACAACTTATTCCTAGGAATGCAGATTTAATTTGCCATCACATTAATGAAGTCTAAATTCTAATTGCAACATTTAATTAATGCTCTAAATTTGGTATTATTGTTATATCAAATAGGAATTATTAACTATTTTTATGAATAACATTATTTTCTATCTGGATATTAAGCATGACGGGAATCACTCAAACATGTATATTTCATAAAGATGTCAGGTTGATTTAAAAAGAAACAAATATATAGGTAAGCATGTGAGTGATTGATAAATTAGTATCATCCAGAATGAGATTAATGAATTTATTTAATATAAACAATAATTTATTTGATTTTGTTAAAATGCGTTTTCCTCAAAACTTCATTCCAAGATGCAAATTAAGCACACATAAATAAAATCACATTGATGACCTCACAAAGCCATGAATGTATATTTGAAGACAAAGTTTATATCCTTAATTAGATAATATACCCCATACCCCTTTAATGGTCAACTGTTTTAACAAATGATTTCTGTTACCATAACAACCAGCAGACTTACAATAGCGAAACTTCCCATGATGGTTAAACATCATAACTATACTAATATCTGTTAATATCAGAATGAATAGTCATATATTTATTCACAAACTTGGGTACAAATAAAGTTTTCTTGGGAAAAGTGCCACGCCCCCTTTTACACATTTTTTGCATAGCCATATTATCATCGGCAAATATAATTAATTGTATGGCTAAAATAAAACATCAATTGATTTAGTATTATCAACCATACTCTAAATAAGTTTTCTAATATGTTTTCATGCTAATTCCTCCCAATTCCAGGAAAATATTATGTGCTTTGTCTCAGGGTAGGTCTTAAATTTTTACGAAAATGTGTACTTTTTTAACAATTGATTTCTGTTACCATAGCAACCAGCTAACCAATATTGATGAAACTGCTCACAATGATAGGACATGATAAGAAGATGATTACCTGTAAATTTCAAGATGATTGGTTGGATACTCTAGGAATTATACATGGCTTTCCTAGGACCCCCCTTAAAATAACACCAGGGGGGTATAAATCTGCATATTTCCAAAACGCTGAAAAACTAGACACCAATAGTTTCAGAATCAATGTAGAATAATAAACCACAAAAAACCTACATAAAGAGAAATTTGCTACTTTTCAAAACCACTTTTACATTATGCTCATCCAGTATTTAACACGTCACTTGAGGCAAGATTCATAAACTATATCTCCACGGGCTATAATTTGAAGAACGCCACTAACGGATCTGTCCCTTTTGGATGGGCCGTATTGTTCTTGTGTGTATCTTACCCACGGGAACCTACAAAACAGATATAATTGCATTGTGAAAAGGAAGTCCCGTCTCTATAAAACTTCCTAGAATAAGATTCAAGCAGTGTAAACATCCATATTTGCAAAAATAACGATAAACCACTGTCATTAAGTAGTTGTAGTACCATATTCGTATAGCTTTTGGGAAAGACGATAAAACGCAAAATATGATTGGAATATTTGCTGAAGTCTGGGATCGATGATCTGACAGAAAATTTAAGGAAGGCGTTGATCATGACTGAGCAAAATGAAAGAGCAAAATAATAATAATTGCAATTTATGTTTATCATTTCAACTATTCCGAGTCAGAGAAAATCAAGAATAAAAATGAAACTTTCCTTAGATATCTGTCGCATTGGCTTTACCGGGAAGGCTAGTTCCGGGGGGGGGGGGGGGGGCTTGTTTAAATTTTAAATTATTAAGATCAAAATGGTAAGGTCATATTGACGAATTTCCAAAATGACAAATTATTGTGCAGTGCGTTAAATTGGAATATCTTTTGATTCTTTTCCACTGGGGTACGCTAATATCCGATCTTAGTACTTCAATATTTTTGTTTGAAAACAAGATCTTTAATGTAAACATCCGCATTTCAATATATCCTGAGACTATCATAGAATAATTCTGTGAATCCCAAGCACAACCCATTACAATATCAGTCTATAAGTCAATCTGTATTACAACAAATGAATAATAATCCCGAAAACAGTTCAACTATATTTGGCTTTGACTTATTTGTTTGAGAGGGACACGAAATGTAGGAATAAAAGTCACCGACGGTCCAACTTCAACGAACAATCTACGTGTACAGACTTATCTTACTAATTTAAATAATCATTTGTCCTCATCGTGATTTGCCCGTCTGATTATACAGGTTTTACTTTCAATTTAGCCTCACTCAGACACATGAATTTGGAATATAATGTCGCAATTCATTCTAAATATCTGTTAAATATCGAATCTCTTACATTACGAATCTCTTATTGAAATATATATTCTATTTATACAATATTGTTTTTCCCGTCATCCGTGATTTCCACATGTTGATTGTATTCTATTTTATCAAATGATCGGAAAGTAATACCATGAAATGAGTAGCATTAGACATGTTAGATTATACGCCCTTGAATTACACTTATAAACACGATGTGATGATTGTTTCATTTACTTAGAGGGACGCATTAACAGATTAATCAATTATGAACGAAATCCAGATACGTACGATGTACGTACAGTTTACTAGTGAATTTGGAATATAATTATTAGAAATGTATTTCTAAAAATCTCTCAAATATCAAATCTCTATTAAATTATATATTTTATTTGTGCAGTAGTGATTTTCCCGTCGTCGTGATTTCAAAATGTAATTATTAATGATCGGTAAGTAATAAACAATGTCTATGCACCGATCGATGCAACGAATAGCAAAATGCGCCGGTCGGAGCAACCTTCGATGCACCGACAGATTTCACCGTTGCACCGATCGGTGCATCGATCGTTTCTCCAGATGCGCCGGTCGGTGCACCGGTCGATGCACCGAATTAGATGCGCCGATGCACCGGTATATGCACCGAAGTTCTGCGCCGATGCACCGGTATATGCACCGAAGTTCTGCGCCGCGGCGCACCGGCGTGTGATGTGGTGCAAGATCTGTACTGTATACCTACCAAGTTTTATTGCAATTGAATGAATATAAGATGCTGCCTCAAAAAAGTCTCACTAATTAATGATAACCCCTCGTATATGTTACAGTAATGCACACTACTTTGTAGACCTTCCCCTGTTATTAAATTACTTTGTTGCAGTCATCTGTCTGACCAGGAAGGCTAAGTTCTTCTGACCCATGGTGGTTTGGTAAACATTTTACCAAATAATACCCCTTCTGACCCATGGTGGTTTGGTAAATATTTTACCAATGCATACCCAAAGACAGTTTAACCTAAGACTTCTAAAGCAATGGGAATAGCAAGGTGCATTGTGTCACCTCTTCTTTAACCCTTTTTTAACCTTGAAAGATCGAGTTTTCGTGGTGGCATGTTAACAGATGAAACAAAAAATTCATATTGGAAATTTATTTAGAAATATCTCTACAATTTCTGCAGATTCGTTTATTCAAGTACAAATTGATTCAATATATATTATTATCTATTAATATCTCAATTGATTTGAATCAATCAAAGCCATACTCTGAACAATATTAAATTGGAAAATTTAAGTTATTATGAATAACAACTGAAGTATTCTAACATCCTCTTCAGCATTATGTGCCCTGAAGGTTTCTGTCGCAGGTTTGATGGCAGGCAGATTGGGTTGTTTATTTATTATATGATGGCAACCCTGGCCACACCTTCTTGAAGATTGGCTTGGTATCACCCATTCCATCAAGCTTTATACAGAAATCTAGGTTTGACTGTGTGATGGCTATTGTTAACCGTGGGTTATCAAAGCTGTTTCCTGCAATGAATAAAACATTCATCTATTAGGCAAAATTAGTTTTCAATCAAAATGTAGTTCCAAGAAAAAAACACATAGATTCCAGAATATTTGTTTCATATGGATAAGTCAATGTTAGCTTTCTCTTTTAATAATTTAGAATATTGTACTGGTTACCATGCCGAAGTTGAACACATATTTTATCCAGGTGATAATATCTGTAACCTGACAGAGGGGTAACAACATCAGAACCCGCTGTAAAGTCTTTCTCTTTGTGTTTTAAAATAATTTTCTCATCACCAAATGCTGATTTACAACCTCCACACTTTCTGGCCCTTGTTTTGGACCTCTTCAGGGCAAACCATGGCTCATTTGAGAGACGCCATGGTTTGCCCCTTTCACTGCACAACCTTTTCATGTGAAAACTACTTTGACCTACTTTAGTTTCACTATCATTTTCATCCATTTTCTTTTCTGGTGAAAATGGAACTGATTTGCCCCCATACTGTTTTGAGTATGCATTTGATGTAACATGATGAAAAGTTACTTTATATATCATCAGTAGCTTAAAGCAGAACTTCGTCAACCTGGAATAGCAACTTTTCCTGACCTAAGGATGCCTAAGGACCAAATCAATTCTGGATGGGATATCTTTAAATCATGAAATGTTTTTATTTAAAGAATGACACTGTTATACATATGAGGCAGACTTGTGGAATAGCTAAAATAAATGAATTTTGAATAACTAAATAAATATCAAACATTTCATATTGATGGGAAAAAAGCTTCTTGTACATCTTTTTATGATGTACTAACTTCCTCACTTCCTCTCTTTTCTTCTTTCTAATTACTTCTATATGATCTGTGTCTTTCCTAGCTATTTGTCTTTCATCTTCACGCTTTTTTTGTTTCCTCAGTCTGTCTTTTAACTTACATGACAAAATTTAGGATGTCAAATCATAATTTACCAATAGAAATTGGAAGGTACAATAATATACCAAGACTTTCAAGAATATGTAAACATTGTAACAAATTAGGTGATGAATATCATTTTATACTAGAATGCTTATTATTTAAAGATCAAAGGGAGAAATATTTAAAACCATACTTTCAAAACAGGCCAAATATGTATAAATTAATTGAACTATTTACAAACAAAACATATACAATTCAACTAAGTAAATTTTTACAATGCATTTTGAAAGGATTAAACTAAATAACTGTCATTTGATATTGTATCAATTTTGTATTACATGTATATTGTATATGTATTTATACTCACAGGTGTGGGTAGAAATAAATCTAAACTGAAACTGAAACTTATAATACTTCATGCTTAAGAGACTTACTTCTTGACTTGTTTTTGATAAATATGTTGTGACACCATCAGTTTATTTACCCACTGGTTATCCCATTCAATATGTGGAGCTCCCTTGTCACAAGATCCTTGATCTCCATCCCAGACACTGTTGTAGCAAACTCAAAAGCCTCATCTGTATTAATATACAGTAAAACCTGCGAACAGGGAATGCTCTTGGGACTGGGGGAAAGTTTCCTTGTTCAGAGGTTTTCCCTATTGAGAGGGGCCGCACTTTCAGCAATCTCAAACTTGCCGAATAAGCATATTTGTATATATATATTGATTGATTTTACAAATGCTGGCTCCATACTTGGTTACATTCTCCCCATTTTGATTTTAGCTGCTGCTAGCGTCTGATGATGTCTAGTTGATGTAATTATTGATAAGATGTGTAGATATATATTGCTAAGAACTGAATTTCAAGTTTCATCTAGAAGTTGGATCAGTAAAAGATTTAAAGAGATTTGGCTCAACATGACCATGTACTTACTATCTGTTATCTCCATAAAATAATTGTGTCAGTCCCTAGATTATCACAACTGATTTGATGCAATTAGGTTTTTGAAAGGAAGAATTAGTGTCATGATAATAAGTAACAAACAGATTAGTATTAGTTTTAAAATAAATCAGGTTAATTAACAGTGGGTCAGATGCTCCATCATGTAAACAATTGGCATATCTTTATCTCAATCATATTAATCAAAGCTTTTTATATTCAGATATTGGCTTAAGACTTTCACACCTCTGAAAAATAATGGAATATACAGTGTCACCAATATTCCTTGTTCACAGGTGAATTTTCATAATTTGCCCCAAAATAGTGTTCCTTATTCCCTGTTCAGAGGTTTTCCCTACAGAGAGGGTCTGTTAACATGTAAGTCAATGGAAAAATATTCGGTTCTTTTGAAAAGCATTCCTTGTTCATAGGTTTTCCCTACAGAGAGGTATTCCATCGGACAGGTTTTACTGTACAAAGATTTGAGATATATAATAAAGAGAAATATCAGAATTTTGTATTTTCTGATGTCAGAATCAGAAAACCAATATAAAACTTGCAATCTACTCTTAATTGGCTTTCATTTTTTGATTATAATATAGCTATACTTCAGAAAGATCTCAGAATCAAGAAAATGTAATGCTTGGATTTTTGCAAAATTACAACCATTTATGAAACAGTTGCCATTTTGAAAATTTTTCTGTTGCATAAAACTACTGTTTTCATCAATTTACTATGAAAGTTCATCTTTCCAACAAATGAAGAAAATTCATCCACTAGTAATTGAGTCTATCCCTACCGAAAAAATGAAATCAAATTGTAAGATTATTAACTTAGTCACTGTACACCTTTGTAGTCTCGATCCCTTCCAATATGGGTCCAGACTCCAACTCACTCGCTGATATTACCTTCTCCCCTCCCATGGTAGGTTCAGCCTCGATACTTGCTGGTGTTGCCTCCTTCCCTCCCATGGCGGGACCATCCTAGGTACTAGCTTGTGTTGCCTCCTTCCCTCACATGGCAGGTTCAGCCTCTATACCCGCTAGTTTTGCCTTCCAACAACATGGGTCAGGACCATATGGCTCTTTAATCCATTTAGTGACCACAGGAGGAACATTGGTGCAGTCAATATATTGAATCATATCAACCATGTTGCTTTAACATAATTGTTACTTATTAATGATTTTAATACTTTTTGGATATGAGAAATGTAGGTTTACATAACGTATGTATTAGCAAATAGTTACATTAAGATTTCTGTGAGGAGGTCGATGTTTACAATGCTTTTAACAAAATGTCTGACCCATTTTGGATTTAAGTGATGACCATCCCTTGCAAAGCAGCCTTCCCTAATTGAATGATCAAGTGTTGAATAGTTAGAAATTCTACTTGATCCTTCTCCTCTGTTGATGAATTTTATTCACTTAGCCTTATGTATGTTAAGGTCTTTATTTCAAATATGACGATTACTGTTACATTACAACTTTTGGTCCTTAACACATGCATTGAATAATTCTGTATTCCCTTTTACCTCGTCAATTTTCCTGACATCTCTGAAAAAGCATACATATATTTTACATGAGTTATATTTCACCTGAATAGCATATATATGTATTGGCCATGGTCAGTCACTCAGACTAAGGATTTGATATTGCTTTCATTGGAACAAATTTATTATAATAGTGATGTTAATAGTTATTATAATTTGGGATATTGTTGATTTTTGAAATATGTATCAAGGTAACTTATTAATTGAAGTCCCTGAGAATTTCTATACAGAAGACATCTGCCTGTACGTCCATGCATTGGTCCATTTGTCTGTCCGATAACTGAAATTCCGCTTGATGGATTTGATTCACATATTTTTGGCTTATGCATTATGGGTGTACTAGGAATTTTCAATATGATCTCACAATAGCCGCCATATTTCGTAAAAAAATGTTTGGTAACTCCAGTTCACAGATTTATTTAAATGTTATATGCTGATACCAAGAAACAAAGGAAAATAATGCTGAATAAATGTTTTTTCAAGATGGCCACTATTTCTCAAAACATGTTTTGTTTTGTGGGATTTGCAACTCTGTGGAATTCCTGTTTTCAGACCTGCTTTCAAACTAACCTGTTTACCCCTTTCCCACCATCGAACTTGGTTTTGATTGAGAATCAGTTTTCTACTACGTTTGTTGGGAAATATCCCAACAACTGGGATTTTTTCGGGCTAATTTTTCACAAATGAGTTGAGCATCTTTGGTGGGAGGTCGCCAATCTCCTCATTAACATGTTCTCGACAGGATGTCAGGAATTTATCATCCTGGGGAGTGCCACACCAAAATGCTGAGTGCTTCATACAGATTTGGGTGATGGGGCCAGATCATCAGTATTCTCTGCAGACTGATCAATTGATGTTGTTGCTCCTTGTAAGCTCGGCTGAGTTCCTTCAGAAAGTCCTATATATGCAAAGCTAATAAATATGCACAAAAAGCAGAGAAACTCATGAATATCACTCGTTATTTCACTATTTACTATTACTAAGGTAAAAGCTTCTGATGACAAGGTATAACTTGGCATCAGAGTGCCAAGTTGCCTGCAGCTCACAGTCTTTTTTCTTCAATGTCCTTTGATGAATGGGTGATAAGAAGGTCTAAAACATGGGAACAGCAGTGTGTGTAGAGATTTCAGCCTAAACACCAAGGCTGTCACTGGATATATTCCCTGCCCCATCGTATCCCTGGCAACTAGAGTTAAGTAATGTTACATTCAAAGATAACAGAAACTGCAATTGATATATAACAATGTACTTTATTTTTGTATAATCCTATAATGTCGATCTAATAATGTTTGATGATAATCCACAAATGTTTAATGATACAGAAGTGAATATGTAACTTTTGATCTAAACTTCTAGAGCAGATAGAACATTCGTTTTGGATATCAGTTCTAGTTTGTGGGGTCAATGATTTTAATTTTGTCTTAAATAAAATCGTTGAATAATTTATTTATATGGATGTCCAAATGGCTGCAAAAAAATTATTAAAAATTAATGTAACCATTGGTATTCACATTTCCTCTGGATTGCACAGTCTCTTAGTTTTTGGTCTGCTCTCATTTGTACTGCCTGTGCGTGGGCCTTGCCTTGCTGCAGCATAAATGCATATAAGTCCTACACTCTGATGATTTATTTATAGATGGTCTTCTGGTCTCCAGGATATGCAAAATGTTAATTACAATTCATCCACAGACATACCAATCTATGTGGTGGGGACATAATAAAAACACAGTCCAAAGTTCATTCTCCTTCTTGGTCTTCTACGTTTACAAATCTTGCTCGTTGCTGGCGCAGGTCAAACACTTCCTGCTTGTCATGAAATGGTTCCTCCATTGATAGTGGTCGGGCCATTAAAGGATTGGACTATAAGTATGGCCTCTTTTAACGCATTAGAAGGTTTGCAAGCTCAGCCATGAGATCTTCATTATAGCCTGATATAAAAAGAGTGTAGTGATCAATTTATTTTGTTCAACTAAGGCCTATTCATTGTCTTAAAAATCTTCAAAACAAACCTGAAGATACATATTTCAAAATATTGTTATTCAAAACAGTTTGTCCAGTAAAGCAACTTCTTATTAGTACCAAAAGGTGGCATGATTTACTGGATAGATGAAATTAGGCTGGAACTGATTTTAAACAAAAAAATAGTGATTAGCATGGGAATATCGTTTTTCACTTGATCACAATTTGAATTAGTTTTTCCCAAGACATTAATAACAAGGCAGTAACATGACAAAATGTCACCACCTTAAAAATAGATTTGCCTTTGGACCACAGTCTTACTAAGTATTATGTGCTTTCTTTAAGTCTCACATGTCCACATCTGTCAAATTATTTTTTTCCCTTTTCAGTTATTTTGTGATAGGGTTTATTAATTTCCTTTACGCTTAAGCTTTTAAACTTTACCCTTTTTTATTTTTTTATGTTTCCTGCATAAAGAATTGAACTTCTTTATCATGACAAGCATCAAAAGCAAGATTTGACATTATTTCCTCCGCAGCCCGCTACGTCATAATTGCTGTTCCCGTATTGGTTCTTTTCTGTAACATTCCCATACTGTAAACTACAATGGAGAAAAACGCAGACAACCGTTTGATGTTTAAAAGAAGGGAAGGAGCAGTATGCCCCGCTAATGATCAGAGATTTGAACAGGAAAATCCAGCTACGGACAAGAATACAATTAACTGGACATGAATATTTTAAAATAGTTCCACGATTAGTTGCAAAATTTCTGAACTATGGCCTATTGAACAATGTGATTGGTATGGGATAAACAGATCATCCTATAGTCGGTTCAGGATTTTTGAATATCCTGAACCTCATATAGGATAATCTCTATATACACTATACACATATACAGAGTGTATACATATACATTATACACATATAAATTTACATTTACAGTTTAGAAAAACAAAACAAGTACTACACACGTACAATATACAGCACAAAACAGCACGATACAACACAACTACAATAAGCATACATAATGTAATACAATACGATACAACACATATACACTAAGTATATACAATTTCGTACAATACGAAAAACACACACAATATAGGATGTTATTCGATACAATGCCATACAACACAAGTACAATATACAACACAGGTACAATATGGCATATACTCACCAGACAGAAAATTTTTGTAGAAGCGATTTTTGTGCAACATCCTTAAGATTCCTGTTCATATACGATTTCTCTTGCGTGTCCCATAGACAAGGGAGGGTTTGATACACTTCTATTTTTGTGATTTCATCATTCAATAGAAGTTCTGCCATTATCTGTCCCCTTAGTTTTATACGATTATGGTCCCGCAGCATAGTTCCATATGTTTTATTATTTGTTTGGCTCACCCTTTATTTGTAACAAATTATATCTTTTTCTGCACATATTATTGCAAATATTCCAAATAAAGATATGGGGAGATGGGTCTTATTATGGGATGAATACATCTGATAGTTTTTGATGCTACAATTTTCAAATCTCACTCGTATATTGATTATTAATATCAATTCATCCATCTACCTAATTAAATTTCTAAATTTACTATCAGATATTATGTCTAAGTTACCTGTTAAGACATGTTTATGGGGCTCATACTTAAAATGGGAATCTTTACAATTACAAATCATTTCATCAAAGTCAGAGTGGTCAAAATCTGATACAGTTTTGTTGTAATTAAATATTTTCCTAGCGATTGTATCAGTGTATTTATTATATGATACTGATGGTACCTCTTACTATCTTACTAGTTACATTCTTGTCATGTAACACTCTGGATAAGTTAATATATGCGATACCCTTTCATTTTAATTAATGAATTGTTCAATGAGTTTATAGTTATTCATGATCCCTTCAATGGATTCCTCCCTTCAATCGTTTTAATTTAATTACCTCAATTTAACATTTTTATTATGAATGTCCTGCATTAACCAGCATTACCCTATCTATTTATCATTATGTGAATTCATATTCAATCATTAGTTATGATCATAAGCATATTTTTTCTTAGCCTTTTTATTATATTTGTACCTATAATCTACCAATAACCTACCAATAATCTTCGGCTACTTTATACAAATTTTCAATTAATTTGGTTCATCAGTTCTCGAGAAAATAATAGTCAAAAATTTATTTCTCACCCAGGCAAGACGTGTCCCAACATTTCTCTTGTTGTTCACGTCATCATAGAATTTGCTAAGAATGTCCTGTAAATCAGAAAAAAACAAAAAAATAAATACTAATAATGTAACACATTTTAAGTAATGAAATTCATCTTCTTTTCAAACATATAATAAAATTAACTGTTTACTTTACATGTTCATATTTTTATCCTTGTTCATGAATCAGTCATGACTATGAAAGTCTTGGGCCTGAACGCAGAACCTCTGTAATCTTTTAAGCGGACTACCTGCCATCAGCTGTGCCCTCTGACATTATTAATTTTTTCTCTGGACAGCCCATCACAATGAAGGGCTATCTGTATAGGTTTAATATCCAGTGCTCAAAAGTCCATGGCATGAATGATATGCATCCCAATTAGTCCCAAACTATCACATTATCCAATTTCCCTAGACTTCTAATGAGGCTTTGGACCATGAGGATTATTTCTTGAAACTAGAATCCAGAGGAGTATACACCCCATATAGCCAGTCTACACCCCATGTAGCCAGTCTCCAACCAGTCTATCCATTGTCTCATTGAAGTTGTTGAAATGAAGGGTAATAGGGAAACCTTTTACCTGTAAATTGAGTTTAATTTCCTTCAACATAAATAATTTTGTTGAATGATCTATATTAATGTTAAACAGAGGTTATATTTAATATGGGGGGTGGGGTGGAATACATGTATATAAATTTTATGCAATAGGACACTAGGGAATTGTTTGAGATAGGAGTTTGTATAAAACAGTTTTGATTTCAGGTTTCACTTAACATTGTTACTTCTTGTCCTAAATGTTTTGAATAATGTAATGACTTACAGTAGTTCCAGTTTCTTTTGCTTCATCTGCATGCTTGGTCATGTTCTAAGATATTGGCAATATCTGTTTCTCATCCAGTGGAAGACAAGGATATACATGTGAGTAGCCTTTCCCAACTTTATCTTAATGACCAGGCTGCTCGTAGAAACCACATACATGTTTCTGGTGACTGGTGATTGGCTCTCACTGACTGGTGATTAGCTCTCACTGACTGGTGATTAGCTCTCACTGACTGGTGATTAGCTCTCACTGACTGGTGATTAGCTCTCACTGACTGGTGATTAGCTCTCACTGACTAGTGATTGGCTCTCACTGACTGGTGGGATCATCCCATCTTCGTCATGCCCCTGCAGTCTCAATCCTCGCAGAAGCTCTTTTCATGCATCTCTCTGAAATGCCTGTTGATGTCATCCAGGGACCTGGTCTTGGTGCCACAGGGGCGCATTTGCCAGACCTCTTCACCACCCCAATAACACTTCACCCGGGCCTTGCACTCATGGAAGTATAAAGAGAACAACTATTCATAGATGAAAATAAGTATAGTTTATATCCTTCTAGCCAGCTAGGTTATTTTCTAACATGTCTCATCTGACAGAGCTGCAGAACTTCTTCACAGGGCTGGTCTAAAGTAAAAATCAGTACTGTACATATAAGATGTAAAATAGATTTGATCCAGAAATATGTGATTTAAATACTTGAAAGTAATGTGAGTATTGAATAATCTCCAAAATCCTAGATAGGATCCATTCATTGATCGCGAATCATCAATTACAGGGCTCTCACAGCTCTCATTGACTGAAGATAGAGAATTGAGTTGTTTAAACAAACTGAATGAGTTACCTTGATGAGCAATGGACTGATTATTTGGTAAGTGACCTTAATATCCCACCAACCAAAGTTTTAGGGGATATAGAGAACCCATCCATCCATTTCTCCATCCATTTCTCCAGGCTTTGTATAAAAAAAAACCTACCTCATACTTCTTTGACATTAAAAATGTGCACATACTCATTAATATTAAATATATTTTTGTTTTTCTGCAGGCATGTGATGGTTATAAAAGCATTTATGCAAAAGAAACAGATTATTGGATGTAAAATATTGATGTTACTTTTTGTTTGTGTAATCAACCATCTCTTATTTATTATATATATGATACTTGCTTTGAATATTTGTCTTTTTCTAGTTTTGTCACTAAAGACAAGTATGTTCTCTGGCTTAACATCACAGTGAATGATGCCATTGCTGTGCATTTCCTCAATTGCCATGGCAATGTTGAGACCCATCATGGTCACTAATCTGAGTCTTAGCCCACCTGTTATATGCTGTCTCTCAAAAAAGGTGAAGTCGAAAAATGTGATTATCATCTGCTTTTTCATAGGAACCCCAGGCATCAGTTTTGGCTTTGATGGTGTAGGCGAGTCATCATGTTGCCATGCAGCACTTTGTTGGGCATTCTCAGGGGTATAGAATCCAATTGAGCTTTCATCAGAAGTTACAATTTGCTCCAGAAAGTCCATTCCCTTTCTCCGTTACGCTGACAAAAAAGCCTGTGAAAGTGCAACTCTCTTGGCTTTTTGTTCATCTTTTAATTCACGAGGAAGCCATTTGAAGGAGACTTTCTTCAAATTGCAGTAACTATAGTGTGCACAGTTCCACAACACAGATCAAACTCCTCTGCAAGGGTTCTCACAGACACTTGCCTGTCCTCCAACACTCTCGTCTCAATTGCCTCGACTGTCTCCTGATCAAAACTTGACACAGGTCTTCCTGATTTAGGCTGTTCATTGACATCTTTATATCCAGAGAAATATTTATTATACCAGCGATATATGTTCCTTTGCGATATAGCATCTCTCCCATAAGCCGTCTTTACATCTCTGATTGTTTCTTTGGCTGTTTTACCTAGTTTTACATTATATTTAATACTACATCTTTGCTCAAGCCTACTCTGTGCAGGTGCCATTTTAACTGTGTCTGACTTTGATTGTGATACACTCAGGACATCATCCATGGTAATTCTAAGAATTCGGTCCAACAGACAGAAAACATATTATGATGTCATAAAGTACTCCAATTTCATTTTTGCCAAAGGTTTTACCTTATAATAACCTGATTTACATAACATTTACCAGGTACATTCTGAACTGCCCCGGGGTCCATGCACTTGTGTTTCTATGGCAACTATAAAATCGGCCAATCAGATGCCGGTCACTCCATATTTCGTATTTATATGTGTAAATGTACAAGGAGCATTCTGACCAAGTTTCATGACATTTGAAGCATAAATGACAAAATGTCCGGGTCATTGACGTTACTTCTTGGACACCCTGTATATGTAGAAACTGACAGATGAGGGGACAGACAGACTCAAGTAGGGCTAGAATATGCTTAGAATATGACCCAACACTAAGTGATGGGGACATAATAACATAAAGGTAATGTACTTACTCAACCATAACATGCTTCATGTGGGCTGCTTTAGTCATGGCAAGTCCTACTGTGGTGATGACAGATCTTGTTCTTTCAAGTGTCAGGGTCCACTTGGCTGCAAAGCATTTCACAGATGGAAATCGCACCTTCCCTGTTACATTTGGGTTCACAAGATAAAGGAATTTCTTAGGGCTCACTTGTATCTTCTCGTAGCCAAGGCTCAAGGACATCTGAAATGAAACCCATTTTTTACAGCAAATACAAAGACTGTTGTAAAATGACTAGATATAGGCCTACAATAAATGGGGCAAGTTATAGTATAATACACACAGTCACTTTTTTCAGGAACTGTTCCAAAACTGTTCCGTTCCGAAGTCGAATGTTATGAACCGAACCATTCAGACTTTTTTGTACATTGAGAAATGTCTTTACGAAAAATGAGTATAAAAATATTTACTGGTGATTTCATTGATTTCTGTATAATGGCAATCCTTTCAGCACACAAAAGTGCCACATGGCTTCTTGCTGCAGATATGTGGTGGCTCTCTGCATTTTCATCAGTCACAACAGCAGTACAAACTTGTATATTGCATGGTCGTGCTCTAACTGGGCACATTACTGTGTGAGGGAAATATGCCTCTCTGAAATCAGAAAACATTTTAAGTAACAGTATAACAATGAATGTTGAAAGAAAAAAAGGAATAAATGTGTGGCATTCAGGCAGTTCATGTTGAAGAATGCATTAAGGTGACTGAACACTTTGGGTGATGGTGCAAGTTTGCATATTATAGCACCATTTTGGACACTTGGGCACATTTTTTAAAGTACTGTAATAGTGTGACCATCAGTATAATTATCAGCGAATATGGTAAGCAGATCAAATGATGTACAAATGTGTCAAATAGCAAGAATAAAAACCAAACATGACAAAGATATGAGTAAAATAATAGTAGGGTTTCCATTTTTTCCACCCTGAACAAAACGCAATGTGCACTTGTGCATTCCCAGAAAGTCTACTCCCTTTCTCCGTTACGCTGACAAAAAAGCCTTTGAAAGTGCAACTCTCTTGGCTTTTTGTTCATCTGTTAATTCACGAGGAAGCCATTGGAGGAGACTTTCTTCAAATTGCAGTACTTAGTAACCATAGTGTGCACAGTTCCACAACACAGATCAAACTCCTCTGCAAGGGTTCTCACAGACACTTGCCTGTCCTCCAACACTCTCGCCTCAATTGCCTCGACTGTCTCCTGATCAAAACTCGACACAGGTCTTCCTGATTTAGGCTGTTCATTGACATCTTTATATCCAGCGGAATATTTATTATACCAGAGATATATGTTCCTTTGGGATATAGCATCTCTCCCATAAGCCTTCTTTACATCTCTGATTGTTTCTTTCGCTGTTTTACCTAGTTTTACATTATATTTAATACTAGATCTTTGCTCAAGCCTACTCTGTGCAGGTGCCATTTTAGCTGTGTCTGACTTTGATTGTGATACAATCAGGACATCATCCATGGTAGTTCTAAGAATTCGGTCCAAGAGACAGAAAACATATTATGATGTCATAAAGTACTCCAAAGAAGTGTTACCATGGTAACTCCCAATAAACAATAAAACCGTTAAGATTTGAAAAAGTCCCAAGGCATAGCATTTCATTTTTGCCAAAGGTTTTACCTTATAATAACCTGATTTACATAACATTTACCAGGTACATTCTGAACTGCCGGGGTCCATGCACTTGTGTTACTATGGCAACCATAAAATCAGCCAGATGCCAGTCACTCCATACTTCGTATTTATATGTATAAATGTACACGGAACATTCCGACCAAGTTTCATGACATTTGAAGCATAAATGACAAAATGCCAGGGTCATTTCAAAGATTCCCAGCTCAGGAACATATTTGCTTATCATGTAAGAATAGGTGGATTTTAGCTTGAAACTAAGCATGCATATAAAGAACAATCTCCTTTTGCCAACCTGTATACCAGTATATATTGACTACTGACTACAGTACAGGTCTTGCCGAAGATCTTATAATTATGCATCGCGGCGCAGAACTTCGGTGCATCCATCGGTGCATCGATGCACCCATTTCGGTGCATCGATCGGCGCGTTCGATGCACCGATTGATGCACCGATCGTTGCAACGGGGAATTCTGTCGGTGCATCGAATGTTGCGCCGATCGGCACAATAACTTGGGACAGGGTAAATTACAATGGGGACAGATTATTTTTTAGTCTGATATCTGTACATTTAGATTGTACGTCAAACGTATAAATACTTTATAATCCTACTCTTCGAACACAGTATTTTAATTAGACATTGACTTTTAACAGATATAAGCCAGCTCAAAATACTGTATATTTGAAATGTTTCGTACAATTTTCGTTTGTTAATATAACCTGACATTGCGTCGATCGGCACATATTTTCACTGATCATTAATAAATAACGTCTTTATAAAATATAATTTCTGACAACGGGGGCAAATCACAATTGAGACAGATATATATATTTATTATACGAGTGGGACATATTTATGATCATATTGAAATCAGGAGTATTGTGTTCGAACGCGGTAGTTAATGTCAATGAACGAATATAAAACACGTTATCTATTTATTAATTGGCGTTATTAATTTATTATAGTTATAGTGATTTAGTTTACTTTTTATAATACATTGTTTTAGTGAACTGGATTTTGATTCAGTGGTCGTCTTCGAATGAACATTCATTTGTCATGATAACCACCGAGATGCAATGGTCAACTTTTGCTTTTACGTTTAATTATAATCAACGCCTTCCCTAAATTTCCTGTCAGATCATGAATGCCAGACTTCACCAAGTATTTAAATAATATTTTGCGTTTTATCATCTTTCTCAAAAGCTAAAATTCATGCATATGGTACAACTACTACTTACTGACTTTGGTTTATCATTGTTTTGTTGCAAATATGGGGATGTTTGGGTTGATGTGTTGGGACCTCCCCTTTTCATAATGTAATTATATATTATTCTATTTTGTAGGTTCTCGTGGGTAAGGTACACACAAGAACAATACACACAAGAACAATATACGGCCCATCCTAAAGGGGCACAGACACAACAGTGCCGTTCTTCAAGTTATAGCCGTGGAATTATATAGTTTATGCATCTTGCCTCAAGCGACGTGTTAACCCTAAAAAGGTTTATCCCATATTGGATTTGAGAAACACAGTTGCTGGACAAGTGCAAACTATGAAATAACAATAATATAACAATAGATAATGTTTGGCATGTATTGTGTTTCCGTTTCATTGTTAAATTAGTTGAAAGTATATAAGGGTTATGTACTGGGAGGATTTGGATATGGGGTTTATCCAGAGGGAGATATGCATATCTACCTGAGGGACCGTGGGGACCGAAGGTAGATGTGCATATCTCACGAGGGATGAACCCCATATCCAAACCGACCGTACATAACTGCTTTATCCCATACCAAGTAGAGTTTTCTAATTTTCTTTCAATTTTTTTTATTTTTTCAATATTTTTCACATTTTTCAATTTTTTTTCAATTTTTTCAATTCTTTTCAATTTTTTACATTTTTTCTTTTTTTTCAATTTTCGAAGCGGGAAGATATGGCGGGAGATATGGAGGTTCAGGATATGGAAACCTCAAAATCAGGATACGGGATATATCTTACCAACTTATCTCCCTAAAACTCTACTTGGCATAGGATAAATGTAGTTATTCACCAGGAGGGTTTTGATATGGAGAATATCATATGATATTAATATCTCCCGAGGGAACGCAGTGACAGAGGGAAATATTGATATCATCCTAGGGATATTCTCAATATCATCCCGACAGGTGAATAATGACCTTATACCATGGTCAAGAGCAACATATATCTAAAATCCTCTTTTGAATGAGAGAAAATGAAAAAATGAAAATTTTTGAAAAAATATCTTTTTTGAAAAATGAAAATTTTTGAATAAATACCCGGGTTGATATCCATATCATCCCTCTTATCCCAATATCATCCATATCCCAAATATGTGATTTATCACTTACTATTATATACTGAGATATTGCTCCGACCATGGTATAAAAAGAATAACTTATCATAACCAGATTTCTTTTCAGGGTATTCAACGGCGATGTAGTTTCCTCGGATATTCTCAAATAAGCAGTTATACGTGTTTGCATGTTTTACTTTTGATTTGATTTGATTGTTTAAATTAGATGAAGTTTTTCAAATGCGGTCAGATGTCACCAGTGTCTGGAGGGTTGAGATTTGATTTAGGAATTAAATTAGAATAAGATTTTTTACTATCTGTTTTGTTTTCGACATTATATAACGTTGATCTTATTGATTTATTTTCTAAACCATTTTCCGTTTTGTCGCATGAGTTAACTTGATTTCAGCTAAAATAGATTATGCGTTGCAACCATTTAAAGATTATCCATCTGTTGCTTGTGACCATATTAATTAATGAGCATATGTTTAGGGGTGCATGCCGTTTTATTTTTGCCATCTACATTTTATATTATCATCTCTTATCTTGATATGTTGAGAATTCTTCAGAGACAAC